ATTCTTCTTTTTGTACTCACCTGTTCTTCACATGACAGATGTTGTGCTTGATCTTACATTGAAACACACAGCATCGATATAAAGCTATATCACGGCGGGAAATAATGTTCATTTTGTCTTCACAAAGACAACTCCATTTAAGTGTTCAGTGTACAGCAGCCATTTGCACCGACAGGAAATCGTACAGTAAATGTTGTGATATTGTGTAATTATAGATATATACGTTGTCAGATCCGATCGCACCAACTTCAACAAAAAATGTGCCACATTTTACAAGTTGATAAAAAAAGTCATTGCCGGACACTTTTTGTATTTTGTGGGAGCTAGTGTTAAATTATCTGTGTTGTGTTCAAGTCTCCACATGCCTCAGATAAAAGATGTACTTTATGATTAAAATGTCTTTTTTTATCACGATTGTCCTGCCGCCTGCTGTTGTCTGCTCTTTCTGTATTGTCGACACACACACGGACACAAAACACACAGACCCAGGCCGTAAAATAAGATGAGGCTCATTTCAAAGCAGGAGTATCCTTAATCATAACAGTGTACACCCGTTTCATTGTCTCATAACTGCTGGCGCCTCCAGTGATATCTGTTACATCTGGCCTGAGGTCAGTGACTGGATTTAAACGGGTCTGCCTGCTCTCTGGGCTCATGTCGGCTTCATTTACACAAGACTAATGGATCATATTTTATTACTGGTTGTGATACAGATCTCATCTTCTCAAGCCTGTGAGTCAGAGAACATCATCAGGGCTCCTACTCAGGAACTGTTGACGTTTGTAAATGGGTTTGGGAATTTCCCTAAAAAAAAAATAATGGTTAAATGTTATTTTGGAAAAGTTTAATAGATTGTTACAGAGAAAGCTTCTGTGTTTTAAGGCTCATTCAAAGTATAAAGTAAAGTAAGGTGGTCAGCAATGGTTCAGCTTTTTAAATGAGTTGTGTAACATTAGAACAAATCCTGCTGAGTGCCTGTTTTCACATTAAAATAAACCTTTTTCATTTCCAAATGAGATACTAGTCATCGACATATTAATATACTTCTCTGTTTTATCAAAAATACTAATACTGTATTACTCCATGAATGAATAAATACCGTGGAATGCCACAGGAATAGCAATCATCTGGAACACAATCAGCTAGAATGTCAGTCAAGCTCATACGTCCACAAAGGCCCTTCACCTGCACCAAATTTCACACATTCAGTTCCCAAAATATGATTACATTCATTTTTTTTATTAAGCTCTCAGCATATCATTTTAAGAATTTTAAAAAAGCCCTGTCTCACAATGTAATCTTTTAGGTGTGGCTAACCTCTCTAGTTATAGAGAAGGATTTAGGTAAGACGAGGCAGTCTTATTCATAAAGCACCTTTCATATACAGAGGTAGATTCAAGGTGCTCTACAGGGACATTAGGAACACCACAAAGACAAAATAAAACAAAGAAAACCAGTCAAATCTAGAAGCACGGCTTAAAAGAAAATTTCAAGCAAAATATAAGTTTACAAAAGGGAAGCAGTCAAAAGATTGAAAGAGGTAAAAAGATAAATCTGCAGAAGGAAACAAGGAATAAAACAGAACCAGCAATCCCGCAGGGGTCCCGCAGGGGTATATTGGACTAACATGTCTGCTATGTATTTGGAAGCAGCTTTAGTCAGAGATTTAAAACTGAGCAGTAAAACTTTAAAATCAGTCCAGTGGCTTCCTGACAGCCAGTGTTGAGATTCAAGAACAGGAGTGATGAGTTGTTGCCTGATTGTCATTTTATGATGGTAAATGAAAAGAGTGAAATTAAATTGTGCTTGGAAAGTGTTCGAATAATGAAAACATTACTATTATTACTAATTATGTTCATTATTATTATTATTCCTATTATTATACTGATAATGTAAGGCGAATATTTCTCCTTATCACAGATGTGTGCAAGAGTTTGAACAAACTGTTTACAAAACAAACTTTTTTGTATAATAAAGTAGGATAGTCAGTATGAAGTTAAGAATACCATTGCTGAACCAGCACCAACAACAGACAAGTACATTTAACTGGTTATCTGTCATTAACCTGAATGTTAGCGACAGTAAATAAATGACTGTATGATTTTTTTTTGTAATATACGCTCTCCCCCAAGTGCAACTGGAGGAAGTCATTTGCTCAGCAGCCACTCAATGGTTGCAAATGTTCATTTTCTGTCTTTCCACACAAAGCTGCGAGTGTCCCTGACTGAGCTGTCTGTGTAGTCGACTGACAGATGTAGACATAACATCGTTCCTTTTTCATTCCTCTGTTCCTTCTCCTGACCCCGTCACTTTCCCCTTTTCTTTTCTGTTACCAATCCCCTTCTAACAAGTGCAGAAAACACCTGTTTCCTCAGAGGTCACCTGGGAAAAGAAGCAGCCGTCCTCCCTGATCGTCTTTCTGTCCCCCTGTCCGTCCTCCGCTGTGGAATGCGAAGGCCGACCTGCTCCCACTGTAAGTTTCTGGTGAGCTCCTCACTGGGTTCAGGCTGTTTTTGTCGTGGATGGTGGAACAAATATACACACACACACACACATCAAGTTTGAGTTAGTCATCTCTGTTTTCTTCATCTTCTTCAGGCTTCAGATCAAAGTCAAGTAGCCAGTTGCTCCATTGATCCCACATTTCTCTGTTTGTCTCTTGAACCTCACACTAATCTTCTGACTATATCAAGGCCTGCTTTGAATTCTCTAATGTGGAGTTTCATCCTGCACAAACACTCCTCACACTGAGGGGGATTTCTGTGGAAACATAATTAACCCATCAGAAGGCATTAGTTTTAACACGATCTGCTGCTTTCAACCACAAGTCTGGCTCAGAGCTGCAGTTGAAAAATGGGGAGATGTTGCACCAAAGGCTCAGTCCAGGCCGATGGTGCCGGAGAAGGGAGGAAAAGTACCATGGTGCTTCTGCTGCTACATCCCACTAATGCCCGTCACAGCCCGTAATCCAAAAAACAAACTGCCACAAACAAACAAGTCGTATAAAGTCATTACATAAGAAAGCCACCCACACTGGGCTCGCTTGATGCTTCTGTGTAGAAGGAAAGATTTTATTTTGGCTCGTACAGCTCCGGCTTGTTGTCCCTCGGCCGGGTCGCCGCAGTGAAGATGAGCCCGCTTCCCTCAGACGATCCGTCCTCAGGCTTGCGTGAGCATCCCTGTAATTATATTTACTTAAACAGAGGTCAAATATTAACTATGGCCGTGGGGCAGGGTTTATTACATTTCCCTTCAAGGGAGAATCTCAGAAGCATGTGTGTCTGTTCTAAGTATATTCCGCAGGCCTGAAATAACTGTGAAGAGGCCGCCGAGCTGGAGAGCTTGTTTACAAGGTAAACATTTGCTTCCACTTTTCAAATTAGATTTTGGTGGAGCTGCTGCACGGGGCCAGATTCACGGGCCAGAGTTTTTCTTCTTTCTTTGTAAATCGGTGGAGGAGATTAGTTTGTCTTTTTTTAAATCCATTTATTCTTTTCTCACCTCTGCTCATTAATTTCCATTCTAAAAATAAACAGTGCTCCTCATTAGTTTTTGATTTCCCCCCACTTTTTTTTATAACCTCAGTGTATTTGCTGTTATTGCTGTGAACTAGCAGCATGGCTTTAGAGCTGGACCAATATCCATTGACCCAAACTAAAATATCTTGTTTCAATATGAAATTCTGTAGAGAAATGTATTTTCCTCATTTACTTTGATGATTCCCTGATTGTCCCTGATTGTTCCTGTAGCAACACAAGATTGGGATTTGTGGTTTTTAGCGAAATGTCTCAACAACTATTGAGTCGATTTCTTAGAGAAGACATTCTTCTTCCCCTCAGGGGGAATTGTAGAAAAAATGAATTGACTGTCAAGTGGATTCTTGAGTAACACATAATTAACCTTTGTAAACATGAGCCACAACTGTATCACTGTGTATGTGAAGCAATATCACTATGAAATCAACCCGACCCAATGATCTTTCTAAATGACACCCATGCAGAAACTTTTTGAGGCCCTCAGGTTTCACCAATAATACCTGCTGCCTTTGGGGGTCACACTTTTACCACTAGTGGTAAAACATTTCAGATGCTGCAAAGAAAAAAAGAGAAGCAAGCTGGACAGATATTAATGGACTGTCAGCAGTGTATAAGCAGCAGAGGCCTTAAGAGCGGCTGTAATGTTCTCAACAGCTGGCTCATAAAGGCTGGGAGGATGGCGGCTGCTGGGGCCAACAGGACGGAAGCTTTCCTCTGCCCAGTAGCTTCCTGTTTTCAGACACAGCTCAAACTAGAGGAAAGCCGCTGACCTCGGCCTCGCTCTCGTCTTACAGGCCGACGAACCCCAGTGCTGTGGGACATGATATCATGTGCAGTGGCTGTTGGAGAAGGAGCAGCGTCATTTTGCAATTATAAACAGTCTCCATGTGTTTCTCTCTCAACAAGAAACACTGAGTTGTCACTGATCACCAAGACTGACATGAAGAGTCAGCACACAAGGGCTGACTCTTCCCGCCATCTAGTGGTGAAAGTACTGATTAAAACTCCACATGAGTTTTTTATTTTCCAAAAAGGTACATTTGTTACTGTTCTGATGAATACAATGGTTAATAAAGAGGTTTTGGTTCAGTGAACCAAACTAAAGATAGTTTATTTTTATAGGTAATATATATTATCAACCCACTCCGACACGCACCTTATTATTTAGTTCTGTGTTTAGTTATTTTTTTGTCTTTATACACATGTATATATATATATATATATATATATATATTATTATACATCAGCACAGATAAAATACACATAAAATATTGAAAAGGCCCAAAATCAGATGTGTAAATGTAAATTTGAAAGATGCAACCATACAAATCAAATATAAAGATATATATAGATATTGAGAAATTATTTATCAATTCATCACACCACTGAAAAATATATTCTATATCTTCTTATTGCACAACACTACCCCTCACTAATCAAACAGCCCTCCACCAGGAGTAACCTTTTTTTTTATTTTTTAAAGGCTCATTCAAATAAATAATAAAAAAAACTTTACAGACAATTGTAAAAACAAATGCTTGAAATGCTTAAAATCTTTCTTCACCCTCATTCTGGTACTAGTTTACTGATGACACTGCGGCAAGGTTTCAGTCTCGTTTCTTTCAGTTCACATGGCAACAGCTCTGATGTCCTCCAGATCGATCGCCTCAGTTTGAGGCTGCGGCCGTGCAGGCTGAGGTTTGTCCTCTGCAAACTTCTTCATCTTGGTGTTTCGGAGGATCTGTGAGATTAGTCGCTCATAAAACCACTCCAGGTCCTGAGGGTCCTCTGGCCATGTCAGGTACTCTCTCTTCTGAATGAATGTTCTGATCGCATTGTACCTCATCAGCTGGTAGTGAGCCACCTTTGGTTGTATTTCATCAGAAAAGAGATTTCGGTCAGCAGTGAAAATCTTCTTTTAAATACGGGAACAAGTTGCAAAGTGAACAGTTTTCTGGCCTGACTGAAGCAATGTTCATTTAAATGTGACAGAAGCCTGCCATCTACTGGTGAAAAGTAGGCATTGAAGCTGCAACATGTTCTGTGCATGGAGTCGGTCACCTGGCACAAGACACCAACCTATATGACAGAGTTTGGTTCCTGTTTTCACAAATACAATTCTGGCATACAACTTTGAATGCATATGAATGAGGTCACCTGTAGTGATACAGCCACAGGGAAATATCATCCAACCCTGCAGTTCCCTTTATTTCTAGGAGAAGTTTAGTGTGTGCCGGCTCCAAACCCGCAGGTTTATTGTTTATATTCATTCTCTGTGCATTCATCAGTGATGTGTACAAGAAATGAGAAATGGTTATTCACTAACTCAGCAGCCACATACACACCTTCCCTATTACCAGCAGAATCAGGACGTTTGTCAGCTCTTCCACCATCCGAGTCTGGGCCAAGGTAAATGCCTCCAGGCACCAGCCATCTAGACAGAGACGCATGCAGACATTTGATTTTTTTTATTTGGTACTTAATTCTGTAATTCAGAAAAGAAAGATGAGGGCAACGGAGCCTTTACTGGCTATGGTGTTAGTTAGCATGCCAGCTTTCAGAAATCAGGTAGGGTTGGTAATTTGGTTCTGAAACACTTTCTTTCTTATTTGTTGAAACCCTTTTCACTTCGTGATAGTGATAAAATGAAATAAACATAACCGATCATCTCATTCAGTCCAAATTAAATGATTGGCTGACGCATCCGTCTGACCAACCTAAACGCTGTTGCAGCTTTTCCAGGATTACCAACCCTAGCTTTAAGGGTCTTGTTTTTTGAAGGGAATTGTTTGAGGGTAAAGAAACACCAGTACTCACAGACTTAGATGATACCACTTTCACATATGTTTATTATCTATGAAGCTAGCAGCAGGGTAGTTCAAATGAAATACTTGAATGGATCAAAACAGCTAGTCTTGGTCTCATCCAAATATCTCTAAGAAATATAGCTTCTGTCCCAAAAGATTTAATGCTAGGCTTAAATAAGCTAAGCTAAGCAGTGGCCAGATGTAGCTTCATATTTGAAAAGTGCTATTAATCTGTGTAGCCATGTGACTGGTATGAAAATCAGATGAGCTGTACCTTTGAGGAACTCCTTGGAGATGACGCACACGGTCTTCCTGCTGCCCCAGATGGCATCTCTGATGTTTGACAAGTGATCCTCACCGGGCAGGAAGTCTCTGACCTCGAAACAACAGTGGAAGACGTTCTCCTCTGAAAACTGGTTGTCAAGTTTTTTCAGTAAAGCAGCCTCCACCCACCCATAGTCGCTGTTGCTGAAGCAGAAGAAGACGTCGTACTGAACCTCTTCGACAGTAGGCGTCGGTTTCGGGCCCTCAAGAACCCTGCCGACGATCTTCTTGTAGATGACAAATATGTGCCCTCTGAGACGAGCGTAGATGACCCCACTCAGGGTGACAGTGATAATAAGGAGGGCAGAGAAGATGAACAGGGCAAACTTAAGATCTTGGACGGCCATTTCATCGTCTTTCTCACATGGTTCTACGATGGTGGCATAATCCAGCAGTGGGAGGTTATGGAGAGCAGCTGGAAACTCACATCTGAAACCCTCGGCTGGGCTCAGGAGAGTTACATTCGTCACATTGAGCCACTGCAGGAAGCTCTCCAGATTACAATCACAATAGAACCGATTCTCTGCCAGGTTGAGAAAGAGGAGAGACTGAAAAGTCATAGGATCCGGGAAGGCTAGGAAGTTGTTCGAGAGGTCAAGTTTGTTCAGACTGACCGGAAAGACATCCGGCTGCAGGAAGGTCAAGGAATTAGTTGAGAGGTCTAGTTCTATGATCGAACTGAGGCCTCTGAAAATCCCTTGTGGGAGTGCGGTGAGCGAGTTTGAGCTTATACTGAGACCAAGAAGATTATTAAGATGATCAAACACGTCAAGGCATTTCCCCTGTGCCCAAATTATCTGCAAGGAACTGTCACTAAGATCTAACACACGCAAAGTGTTATTATAAGGTATTGTAATATTCTTGCTTAGTGTGCACCCCTTGATAAAGTTGCTGCTGTAGAAAAAGTTCTGGAGACGCTTGAAATCAGTCACTATTGAATAAAAATCATCCAAGTTCGTTAATCTGTTGTCCCTAATGTCCACATGGATGCTGTTCATACCCAAGTTAGCGATACTGTGCACTGACTTCAACTTGTTGTCACCCAAAAGAAGAAAATCTAAGTTTGGTAATGATGCTGGAGAACCCAGGTCTCGCAATGAGTTCCCCGTCAGAAATAACCAACGTAATTCAGGAAGATCACTGAAGGCTTGGTGTCCCAATGCACCAATGTGGTTGTAAGACAAGTCCAGCGCACTTAGGTTTTTCAGATTGGCGAAGGTGTCGGAATATATTTCTCCGAGTAGGTTGGATGAAAGGTTGAGAATACTTAAATGTCCCTGAAGACCATTGAAGGCATTTCTCTGGATCTGATTGATTTTGTTTTTGGAAATGTCAATGGTTACCACAGTCTTCAGAGGACTGAAAATAGCCCTCTGCAAAACAAATATGAAGTTTTTAGACAGATCAAAGACGTTAACAGCGCTATTCGAGAGGCCTTCGAATGTGCTTTCATCTGGATCAGGTAAGTTGTCATATGAAAAGCCTCGACCAATGTGTCCAGACAATATGAGATGAGCGATCAGAGTCCCCTGTATCGCTTTGAAAAATCGTCTTGTTTGGTCGACGTTGAAGCCGTTGGAGGATAAGTCTAGGGTATGGAAGGCCATATCTCTGAAAGGGTTCCCACAACTTCCTTCGTCAAAGTCGCCTTCATACATTTTAGCCAAGTGGTTGGAATTCAGGTTCAGGATTGTGAAGTATTTCCCCCTGAAGCCAACAAGGTCGTCTTCACACAATCTTTTGATTGGATTCAATTTGAGGTTTAACTGTGTGAACTTACGGAGACTTGAAAAGAACAGTCCAGGCTGGAGTCGCTTTATTTGGTTCCCCAATAGATCAAGCATTTCTAAGGAAAAAAGGGGCTGCAGGTAGTTGTCAGCCAGGATAGATTCATTCAAGGTGCAATGATCCAAAAACAGCTGCTGCAACCTGAACAGTCCTACGAATGCCCTCGGCTCCAGCTGAAGGTGAATGTTGTTGCCTAGAACCAACCTGATCAGTTTTCTCTGTTTGGAGAAAGCGTTGTTCCTGATGACGAGCTGCACTGACTCAGACTGCATGCCCAGATCTAATTCCTGCAGCTGCTCGTACGGTCTGAGGGCGGTGCTGTTGATCTCACTGATGTAGTTCATTTCCAGGTACAGGTGGGTGATATTGGGAGGAAGAGCAGGAACCCAGTAGTGCCCCTGTGAGGAGCAAGCAGCTACAAGGCCATACAAAGTGCATGATGGGTAGCATGCGGTTACCTGCAGATTAGAAGATGACATCATGTTTGTGAATAGAAAAAAACCCCCTGAACTCTGGATTTGGAATATACCCCTGCTCACTTTCTCACTGGCAGTGTACTGAGATGGAAGAAGCAACTCTGTAATGTCTGCACAGAAGTTTTGGCGCCGGGGCAGCCTGTTGACTTAGCTTTGCATGAAACAGGAGGAATGAGCAACTTTTTAAGTTTTTGTAAATGTAAAAACACAAGTTAACAAAATATATCACTTTTTTGAGAGATTTGGAAACGCTGCTTAGAAACTGCAATTTAACAGCTGGTCCCAAGACCTGACGATGTTTCTTACTTTAACCTTGAGAAAATAAAGTTTGCACAGAGAGGCTCAGGTGGTATGTTGTAACGATTTTAATAAAATCGTAACATTCCTCTTGTTTATTTATTTTCCTTATCAGTCACGAGAGAAAAGGGAGTGAAGGGGAGGCTTTGTGGAAATGGGTGAAGAGGTCGATTTGTAGATGGGTTTAAATAGTAAACTAACCTAAACTAATCCAACCCAGCATAACCTAATCAAATACAATTAACCTAATCCAACGTAATCTAATTCAATTAACCCAACCTAACCTAACTGACCTAATCTAATCTAAACCAACCTCACTAACTAACCTAATCTAATTTAACCTGTGGTGTAGTTTCATATTTACCAAACAAATATAAGAGTGATATCAATCTTCTCATCTGACTCTTGGTAATGAAGAGTGAGAGTGTATTTTGAATTAAATAGACATTGTTCCTAAAACACCTTTTGAATTGTTGTCAGGCTGGAATCTGGATGGTTTCTGCTTCTGTCTAGTCACAATTCACAAAATAAAGTATAACTGATCCTATGTGAGTTCTGTGATTTACACACATACCTGTAGGTATAAACCGATGAAAGCCAACTGAGGGGCCAGTGTCCACATGCTGCCCTCGCACTGAAGAGATGTCCACAGAGAAAAAGCAGAATTGAGCAAAGCTTAAAGGATGTGGCGTCATTGCATTGGGCCAGCAGTGCAAATATTAGTGAGAACGAAAAGGTGGGGGGTCGCCAGGCTGTTTGCTTTATCAGGTTCATAGATCACAGGAAGTGCAGCTCTGTCATCACACTGCTGTGTGCACAACCAATTATACGTGACACATGAGCTTTGATAAGAAAGATGCACACAAATTGTTTGGCGTGATGCTTGCAGGTTTGCACTGTGGGAAAGCGAATACGATCCAGGGTCATAGTTAGTTTTTTAATGTCCCCCAACTGTGTACAGAAAAATGAAATAAATAAGCTACTTCTGAAATAATAACACATTACATTACGTCATGTAGCTGACGCTTTTATCCAAAGCGACTTCAAATGAGTGCATTCGACATCTACGAGGGGAACATTTTTTTGGGGGAGGGGGGTTCAGCATCTTGCCAAAGGAAACTTCGGGGATGGTCACCATGATATAACACTATATTTAAAAAACATGCATTCTACATTGCAACTGTGGTATTTTCAATTGTTCTAATAATTTTCATCAATGACAATATAACAAAAGTTCAATATCAATATTGTACCTATGGATTGTGCAGGTATGGTGATGAGGAGTGACATGTAATGTTCTACCTCAGCAAATAGGGATTTAAAACCACAACCTTCCCTCAGGAGCCTTTGAAAGTATTGACATGTGTCTTGGTATCGACTCATATGAACATAGGTCACAGTGTATTGCAGATGTATGGATCTTATATCATAAAGTTCACTTCTGTATGCCAGGCTGTTTCCGACTCTTTCACAATCTCACCTCGTAAAAGGCGAGGATCGGTCTCTGATCCTCGAGCTGCAGCCGCTGAAGTTCTCCAGCGATTGTTGCCCGATGTGGAAAAGTTTAAAATAACACTCCACCACTCCAACTGGAAAGGAAGTGTTCAGAGAGATCGAGTGGATCAGTGGCACGTTGCACACATTCTAGTGAAGCAGGTAGTAAAGCGGAGACCTCACCCTTCAGCGCTTCTCTCTCCAGCAGCAGTGGAACACCGCGGTCCAACTACATTTGAAGTGTGCCCATATTCCCGTCTCTATGGTAAATAAAGCCACGCCCCTAAAACGCGTTTTAATGAATCGTGATTTCAGAAAGTGAGCAAGTTACTACTTCCGGTTTTCATAATAAAGGGATAACAGGATATACACAATACGGAAATGAGATAAGATGATACTCCCATAAATAATTAGAAAACATTAATGTCCCATATAAATAAAACCAAAACGTGCATCTATTTCTCTCTGTTTGTAATGTCCTGTTCTCTTGTCCTGTCTTAAAGCTCTGGAGCTACTTCAGAATTATTCCTTATCATTAGTGAGTCCTCCTCAAACAATACACTGTCACTTTTTATTGATTGCGTACTGGACGTTGTGTGCAGAACTAGGAGGGCACTTGTTCTGTGATGAAAGGCTTCTTGTTGGGATATAGTTTAGTTTTTGTTATCCTCCTTACTTTATTGTGCACCTCACCCAGACTGTTTATTTTGAAATTTGGAAGTAGTAATACATTCTCATGCTCTGTGTGTATTCTCTCTCTGTGTGTCTTTAAGGAATTGTTGTTGTCAGCTCTCTCTGGGCCGTTTCAACATGTGCAAGTATGAGGTGGTAAAAATGACAGCTGACTTGACCATAGTGTTTTTCAGTCGCAAACTACTCTCACATGCTTATTGTTGTGTTAAGGACACTTCTGCTTGCATACAACTCCTTCTTCGTCTTTGTTTGGTTATTGGCAGGTGACAACCAACTTGCATTAACGCTATTTACTGTATCTCTCTTATTACACTATGTGATAAAATGCGATAAAATTAGTTGAGCACTTCCTTTTGCTCCTCTTGCTCTACTCTGTCCATCATTTGATTCAACCAAGCATTTCAGATGTTCAGCATTCAAACTGAATATTCACCGTCATTCAACACTGTCCCAGGCACCTGCTTGTCCTGCCACATGGTAATCTCTCATTGAAGAAAATATAGCCCCTCTGAATTGCCTCAGCTGCTGACAGACAGTGTCAGCAAAATGGATATTGCCGAATACAAAGTCATTGCACGTTGTCCTGTTGATGCTTTTGATTTCAGTGTGTAGTCTTCCCTGTGTAGTCTGCCCACCACAAAGTCTGTCAAAGCTACAGCTTATATACATGTGTGTATTTATCTCTGTTGGTCATTTTTTCATTTTTAATGTTTATGTGTCTTTTCTTACACCAGCCATGGCTAAAGACTCGCTAGAAGAGGCAGGCTCTTATTTTGATGAACTCAAGAACCTCATTGCACTGGAGCCTGATGTCAGCCAGAAGACCTCAGAGCTGAAGGAGGGGTCTAAAGACTTTGTGGACAGTGAGCGCTAAAGATTTTGTCAAGGCCATTTGGTCATGAGCGTTTCCCTCTGTCTATGCCGACTTGATGTACATCCGTCTGAATTTGTTATCTGTTACAGAAATTGACCAGTTTCAGAAAATAGATGCGATTCGGCTGATTGATGAACTGGCAAAAGAAGTGGAAAAGGAAAAGAGGAAAGTATGCTTGACATTGAAAGCTGGAATGGATGAATGCTTCAATTCACTTCTAGCTGTGCTCACCTATAGACTATACTTTATGCGCCTGTGTTTGCTCAGAGCTGAAGTATTCATCCTGTTCTCTGCTCCTTTTGGCGATAGCAGCCAGGAATCTGTGGAGGTTAATGACAAGACAGAGGGAGGCTCAACAGCAGCAGCTGCAGGCTCTCATTGCTGAGAAAAAGAGCCAACTTGAGTGGTAAATTGTGTGTGGGTCGACATCATAACTTAAATAGTGCTGGTATGTGCCAGACAGGTCATGGTTTACTTTCCATTTGAGTTAGGGGATTGGGCCCTAACACCAGTATTAAACAAGCCAGGGGCTAAATTATCAAAGGCCATAGTATTGATAAGCTCCATTATTATCGGCCCTGCTCTCTTCACTGGAGAAATTAAGAAAATAGATTTCTGATAAAAGTTATCCACACATTTTGTCTTACTAACTGTGTGATGAGGGCATTTGATTATACAGCATTTTAGCTGTTCTCAGTCTAGAAGAGAGATTGCTCTCCAAGCCTGCCAGTGAGCCCACACACAAGAGTTAACTAAATGACACAAACATGGGTTGCATTGTTTTGGGTGCATTGGGAAATGTAGTTTTGCATTCATAAACTGGATATATTTTCTGACAGACTCAGGAGCCACTCATCAGTCTTATACCATAACACTGTTTAAGATGGAAATTTGTTTTTTATAACAGGAAATCATAATAGATACAAAATTAAAATTCTCATCTTTACCAGTGACATCATCTGGTGACTATTGTGATTTAAATAGCAAATTATTATCATTGAAAAATTGTTCTACACACAACACCTGTAATCACTTTCCTGATGTTTGTGTTTTTTTTAATTCTGTTCATTTGGTCTTAACAGTTACTTTTGTGTTAGTATGCAGCCTTGTCGAAGATAGAGTCGGAGCAGAACGAACTCATCGACCAGTTCATTTAGCAGAAGTGAAGGTGTGACTGGGAACAAAACATAATGAGTTCAGTGTCTCTCCGTCATCTTTCGTTGATGACAGGGTGAGTAGATATACTTGAATAAATTCTGTAAAATGGACAAGAAAAAGTATCAAGTTTCTCTGAAAAGCTTTTTAACATAGTGTTAAAGAAAATGTATTTTCTCTAATATGATTTCAGGGTAGAAATAGTTGTTCACAATATCTATTTCTGATTTTGGAACACACCAATGTTTGAACATAACGTCCTTGAAATGCTTCATATTTAGAAAGAAAGTGTCTGCAACCTCACGTGTCAGGTCATATATTTATCTTTCAGCTGAATCAAATAAAAGTGATCAGTTTCAGCTCAACAGAAAGGAACAGAAACAGGGTGGTAGAAATATCCTCTCTTTTCACCTCATGTTTGGATCAACCTCCAAAATTCAGATTCCTACATTTCCCGTAATGCAACGTAAAATATTGTGTTGATTGCTTATCATGCAATGTGTGAAAAAAAACACCATTAAAGTAAAGAATTCAAAGATATACAAGGAAACTACCATAAATTGAATTGTCAGCGGAACGGTGCTTTTATTCTGAAATCAACTCTCACTTGCTCTTACCGTAATACCTAGTGTAACTCTAAACATTGTGGGGGCTGGTTTGACAGTGTTGTGGTTGAACAGCTCCTCCCTCCAGCAGAGCTGCTCCAACAGTCTCACACTCCCTCTGACCTGCTGTCATAAGAAATATCTGCTGCTCTCCACACAATCCTACCTGATCTAGCATCAACCCTGACAAAACAGAGGCATTTCACAACTGCCCACATGAGCCAAGGCCTTCTTCCTCTTTCACACACTCATGTAATCCTCCACTGAGTTCCTGCTCAAACATCCCCCACCCTTCTAACTGTCTGACCACCTCTAAATCACTGCTGTACAACTAGCTACTACTTCTAATATCACTGCTAAACACATGAAGGAATACTTCTACTCAAATACTTTACTTTAAATGCCCATTTAGTAATGTGATATATGATATGCATGCCCCGATATCGAGAGTGATGGTTATGTTGTTCCTCATGTTGCCTCTAACATGATATATTATTTTCACACAGGTACATCCTATGGATATGTGTAGATAAACATTTATATATAATACCAATTGTAAAATTAAATGAGCATATGTTACAACATCTCCACAATACATCATCTATATGATATTATTTGTTATGACCACATATTTTATTGATATATATTTAAAGGTACAATGTGTAGAATTTAGTGATATCTAGTGTTGAAGTTGCATGTTGCAGCTGAACACCCCTCACCTCACCCTCTCCTTCCAAACATGAAAAAGAACCTGTGGTAGCTTCAGTTGTCATAAAAACTCAAAAGGTATTTAGTTTGTAGTTTGTAGTTTTTGTAAATATAAAGTATTTGAATATAAAGTATTTAAATATAAAGTATTTAAATATAAAGGGCCTTTTCTGGGCGAAAGTAAACTACAATTCATACAATTTAGATGAAACGAACTAGAGAAAACATCATCATCATTAATTTCTGTCAATAGTTCCCTTTCACCTAAATCTTACAAACTGGACCTTTAAATAACATAGGCAAGTTTATTAAAACAACATATATTGAACATTATATATATATATATATATATATATATATATATATATAGAGAGAGAGAGAGAGAGAGAGACTCTTGGGTAACCTCTACTTTGTGTATTTTTAATAACTAGCAGCAACAGGAGTGTCTGTTACATATTGATGCATCAGTTTACAACCTGATCATGTCATCTATGGTAAAAGATGAGACACAGGGGACTAATATCACTTCTAAACTATATACACTTACACTTCTTGTAGTGGAATAGGCTACAACTCGTTCACATATCTGCATACTGTCACACTGCAATCACAACATGTCTAACTACTACTACCTCGGTATATCAACTGGTGTAGACCAAGGTTGTTTTGATGCGACATTAGTTTAAAAATAGTGAATCTGGAGAATCTGGAATGAAATACAGCCTCTGATAAAAGGGGTGTTTTTATTTGATTCATAAATAATTCATGTTTTGTTGCTTATTATACATATGTTTCCTTATTTTGTGTGATGTTTCAGAAGCTACTGTTCAATACATTTTCACTTAACCCTGTCTCTTTATAATCTTGGCCTGCTGTGAGTTATAAGTGAAATGTGTGTTGAAGTCATGGGGTTCATGTGGTTCATCATTGTGAAGGATTGTGTACATGCACCACTGTTCTTCTGAAACTTAAGCAATAATACATGAGACACCTTTTGCAGCTGCTTCTCTGCATTGATGACGTGTAATTCACATTTCCCTCCACATGGTGGGGCACTCCGCCTGTGTCTGAAGGGACAGAGACAAAGAAGAGAAAGACTACTCCTTTATTCACATTTTTTCTGATTGAATAGTTGCAGCACAAATTTAAAAAAACAAACAGAAATCCGTGATATTCTTATTACAATGATTGTGTTGTATGTGAGTTGAATTGAAGACATGAATCAGTCTTCATAGCAGAGAATCCTTCCTCAGAAAAACTTGAGTCGTTAAATATTTGTGACTTTCTTTCCTTTGATGTAACCGCATCCCTGTCCTCCATCTCTTTCAGAATCTGTCCGGAATCTGTGTCGGTGGCTCTGGTCTGCACATGTCTTAGCTCTGTCGTTTTTAAGGGCCACTGGTTACACGTTGTAAACCGTGCGCCTCATCCTCCCGCGCCGTGAGCGCACTGGCGCTCTGGATCTTCCCTCTGCTGTTCAGGATGTGATGAGCCAGAAAAACCAGCAGCACAATAAAAAGGACAGTAACCAGTATTATCCCCACGAAAGCCCCCACTGACACCCCCGAGGGTCGTCTCGTTGGGTCGGGTAAAACAGACTCTGTTGTGGGGGTGTTTGGATCTGTGGTCTCTTCTGTGTAGCCTTCGATTTTTACGCACTTGTACTCGCCAACAAGCTCATATCCTCGATAGCACGAGCACGCGTAGCCGCCGAATTTGTTTTCACATCCTTGATCGCAATACAGATCCTGACACTCATCCATGTCAATGCAAAATGTCTGGTCGCCTCTCTCCTCTGCGACGTAACCTTCGGGGCAGTAGCACTGGAACACGTCATTTGGGTCGCACACGGCAGGGCACTCAATCTCCCCGCAGTGGAGCTTACACTTGTTCGATGCCTCTGGATCCACTTCATATCCATCGTAACACGAGCACTTGTAGCTGCCGGGAGTGTTTTCGCACATGTGCTCGCAAGGGGCGGACGCGCAACCGTTTTCTTCCACGCACAGCCCGCCGGTCATCGTGTATCCAGCCTTGCAGACGCACTGGAACCCACCCGCGGTGTTGATGCACATGAAATTCTCGCCGGGACACTGGCGCTCGTCCGTGCAGTCGTTGATGTCCAAGCACGACCTGCCGTCCGCAGCCAGTCTATAGCCGTGGTCGCACAAGCACGCGTAGGAATCCAAGGTCGGGTAACAGGCGAGCTCGCAGCTCAGGGGTTCGCACGGGTCTTCTAAACCCACCTCGCAGGTGACTTTATTCGCAGGGTTCACGGTTTGTCCCGGCGGACAGTAACACGCGGGGACTTGGTGTGGGTCCATTGCGCATCTGTGCTCACACCCGCCTTCGTTTATCTCGCAGCTCCAGGGCGCCTGCAGCCACTTCTCTGAGAAGCAGACGTATTTAATCTCAGATGGCAAGCGGATGGCGATGCTTCCAGGGGGCAGAGACGCCATATCCATCCCAGAAAACCCCATGGGGATAGAGTAGGTGACTGACTCGCCACCAGCAGACGTCAGAGCAGTGCAGGGGTCACTGATGTCGAACTCACAGAGAAACCCGGCCGCCTCCTCGCTACATGTTTCTTGGACCCATGTAAAGTCGCTCGCTCTGGAAACTGAGACGCAGCGACGAGAAGAGCAGCTGCTGTCAAAACCTGGCGCCCAGTTGAAGAAGTCGCTCTGGCTGTCCTTGGTCACCCACTGGAAGCCCTTCAGCCCTTCAGCAACGTCAGGACAGCCGCTGCCTAAATGCAAACCGATCCAGAACCGCCCCGTCGAATTCCCCAACAAAATGAAAAGAACATCATGTGATACAGATGAGCGCACTGTCATTACGTGGCCACCTTTAGATCTGCATTGCTTCTGCGCCGTCGTAAAATCGCTGGGTTCTTGGGCCACCGCGAAACACTTGGTCCCAATGCAGAATCCGTTATTCGCCTCTATCCCACCGGTGCCTCCCACCAGGAGAACCAACACGGCAGCAAACAGTCCCGCTACATCCTTCATGTTTGAACCTCTGTTGTTGTTGGAGCCAGCGGTCCTGGACTAGACTTGTTTGTTTGAAGTGTTTAGCTCGCATTTATAAACCAGACCCTGCTCCACACCAGTGCGCCGGCAGAGGAAGGAAGTCCCTCTTAATCAGCCTGTCGGGCCGCTTAATGCCTCTCTTGAAACTTTCTCCTCCGCACAAAAGACCACATCCCCAATTACGCACGGCTTTTACGCACGTACGTAAGGAAGACGCGCATACGCAAGGGGGGCTACCACCCAACGCCCCCTGGTTTTGCAGTGTAGCCCCTCCCAACTCTTCTCAGAACACAATGTCAGTCTGGGTGAAGTCCTGAAGTCTTGGGGAAAAGAGTTGAACAGATGATCTCATGAAACATTTCCTGCACATTTTCACTAGTTTGAAACTTTTGAAAATGTTCTAAACGTGAACTTAATTATTACAAAAGAAAGGAGCTCGAGGAACTGTCATTTATTGGACAAGGTATAAGGAGAGGAGAGGAAACAGAGATAATGCAACAGAGGATGAAAAGTGGTAAGGGTCAGACGTTGAGATTCTTATAGAGTAAGAGTTCAGTTTCTGTGCACCAACATTCTGAGGGGCCATCGCTTCAATCTTAAAAAAGTCAACCCTTTTCACACTTTCAATCACCACATAAATATGGTGATAAGGGCCACAAGGCCTCGCTTTGTATCTTTTTAAATAACTTTTGTGGGATTTGATTTGGTCAAACTTTACCGACTATAAAATTTATGCAGCCACAATAATAAAGACGGGCAGCTCAGCCAAAGAGGGGCAAACAGGCAGTTACCCAGGCACCTTTAGATTATGCTCTGCACGCATAAGGTTATAATTGCTCATGAGTCTTATTCCAATATTGTGGGCTTACTGCAAATTGCTGTGAATAGAGTCAGCTAAATGTATATAGTAGTACAGTATAAATGTAAATATACAGCAGCAATTTGTGGGTTAAATCTGCAGGGAGGTTTGTGGAAAAGGAATTGAAACAAAAAAAGAAATAGATCTGGGTGTAGAAAAAAGAAAAAACACGAATAATTCAATGAATAAAAGAATGAATCAATACCTCCCCTCCCACTATCCACGTAACAAAAAACCTCTGGTAATGGAAAATAATCATAATACAACCTTTAGCTGCAGTTTTTTTTAAATTTACAGTATCATTAATCAATAGAAATAAAATAAATAAATAAAAAGCTTGCAGTGAGCCTGTTATACAGACAAAGAGACTGGGTGTTTTTCTGTGACATATGAAGAAGTTAGCAGCACAGTATTACATTTGTGTTTAGCAGATCCCTCAGCAGCAGCCTGGTACACAGTGAATAACATACAGCCTCAGGATAATGTCAGTGGTATCAAAGTACAGCTGGTGCAGCATGTCTGCAGTGCAAGAACAGTCCAGGGCTGTTTTTATAAAAACCTCAAAGCATGCTGCCATGCATGCTTCACAAACAGTTCCAGTGGCAACCAGTGCAGCCTTAAAACTAATAGTGGTCCAATGCCAGTGCTGACTAATCAGAAACCTGCTTCTTCTTTTTGGCTCCATTAATCGATAATAAGAATGTCCAGTGTGAGCTTATTATAAGATAAAATACAGTGTAACAGCTGATATGTGGAATAAAACATACGATGTAAAGTACAAATGTTGAGCAAAGACAAGGGCAATTTCTTGTTATAAAAAATTCAATATAAAAAGCTGTGTGTATGTGTGAACTAAATAAAGTGAAATATAAATGCAAGAGATAATACTCCAGTGACAGTAACAAAACCTTTCATTTACACTGATGGAGTTTTGACACTGTTAAGGGAACTGAAATCAGCGGTGGGATATAACTAAGTACACATTTAGGAAGTAAATTTTTCATGTATCTGTACTTTATTTAAGTAGATCAACTTTTCGGGGGTGATTTTCACTTCAACTTTGCTAGATTTGTCAGCAAATATCTCTACTTAATATTAAATCGCATTTTAAAAACCTATTGTGTGACATCTGTGGTAGTTTTACTTTTGAGTACATTTTTGTCTATTTATTTCTACTCATTGCTTATACCGCTTGAGTACTTCCACCACCTATGAATAATTAGAATAAAATGACTAGACTAACTTTCAGTACCTTTACGGCATCTTGTTTGACTCTGAATAATCAGGATTAGTGATTTATAGCCATGAGGGTATTTAATAGCGAATTGTATATATAAATCTATCACATATCCTTGAAGCTGTTTCTCTTTAAACTCTTATTTGACCTCATCCATCGCTGCTGTACGAGATTTGTATGAACCATTTCTGGATACCTGTGAAAACAAAAAGTCCCATGTGCCTTATGCTCCAGATCACAGTCGTTGCAAGTCACTTTTAATCTGTTTGTCGAAGGACAACCTCTTGTAGGTCTCCGTGGTCACCTGCTGCAGGTAAAACACATCTATGTCTGGATGTCTGAAGGAGGAGAGCTCGAACCTGCCGCAGCGTTTCACCACGGTGCGCACCAGCAGACACAGCAGCGTCGCGCCAAGTGCCATGAACACGGTGATGCCCAGGACGCTGCCTGTCTTGATGTAGGATGGCACCACCGCAGGCTGAGCGGTGGCTCCTGACCCATCCTCCCCCTTCTCCCCCATCTCCCCCTTCTCCTCCTCCGTCTCCGCCACACACTTGTCATCCTGCAGCCTGAAGCCGTCCTGGCAAGAACATCTGTAACCACCGAACGTGTTTTCACACTTTTGGTCACAATAACTTGACATCTCACACTCGTCGATGTCCGTGCAAATGGTCTCGTTGTTCCGCATATCTTTAATGTAGCCCTTGGGGCATTCGCACTGGACCATGTCCGGCTTCCTCTTATCAGTGTTTTGGTGGCACACGGCCGGACAGTCTCTCTCGCCGCAGTGTCTCTCGCACTTGGTGGGGTCTTCGGCTGACACCCTGAACCCTTCCCGGCATGCACACCCGTACACCCCAGTGGTCTTCACACACAACATATGCTCGCACTTCAGGCAGATCTCCACGTCCACGCACGCCCCATCCTCCTCCTCGAAGCCCTCTGTGCACCTGCACTGGTACCCTCCCTCTGTGTTGAAACACTCCTCGCCCTCGCCTGCGCACAGGTCGTCGTCCTCCTCGCACTCGTCCACGTCCACGCAGCGTTGCCCGTCCTGCGCCAGCATGTACCCGTTGTTAGCGCACGCGCACTCGTAAGAAACGCCACTCCATCGGCAATCCTCTGCGCAGTCGGCGCACGGGTCCTTGGCGCAGGTGATGCGGTTGGGCTGGAGGATTTGTCCCTGGGGGCAGGTGCAGGTGTGTGTTGTGGAGTTGCAGCCGTGCTCGCACCCGCCCTGCAGCACCTCACAGTTCCAGGGAGCAGACTTCCACTCCTTATAACACAGATGTTTCGAGTCCAGATAGTGTTCACCGACCTTTTCCACCACAGCGATGGTTCCTGATGGAAACACTTCAGAATCGATGACGTCGAATCCCATATGGTGAGTGGTATACCTCACCTGCGCGCCCCCGTGTGCCTCGAGGCGACTGCAAGATTCCTGGAGCACGTACTGGCACAGAAACCCGTCCAGTTCGTCGCCGCATTGCTTCCAGGAAACCGTGATGTCCCCTCCCCCCGACACGGAGACGGAGGAGCAGTTTACAAGATGTGATTCCTCCACCCGTCGGTCTGTGCTGTGCAGCTGGAGCCAGTAACTCCCGCTGCGTCCGCTCAGTGGACCCGTTAATGTCTCCACCGCTTGTTCCGAGCTGATCGTGAGCAACGTTCCCTCCGAGTCTCTGCAGCTGCTCTGCGCCCCCTGAAAGTCCTCGGGCTTGCTTAAAAGTTCAACACACCGATCGTCTGCGCAGTGCCTGTGCTGGGCGAGCACCGCGTCCTCCAGCCCGCAGAGGAAAACCACGCAAATCAGTAGAGATTGTTTCCTAGGACTCATGATGTCGATGTTAGAAAAGCAGACGATGGTGTGAAACTCTGTTCTCGACGATCCGCGTCTGATCCAGTGACTGAGAGGTGAACATAGACCCCATTTATAAAGGCCTCCAGCTGACTGTGGTTTTTTTTTTTGTTGGAACAGGGGAGGAAGGAAGTTCTGTGCTGGCTTGTAGTTGAAGCAGTCGTGTGATTGCTCAACTCCCACACTGTCCAAAGACCTTATCACATAGAGACCAGCCCACTTACACGGGAGCAGAGGAACCTTTGATAAGTATGAACCAAATCCCATGAGATGAGTGCTTGACTTTCTTTTCCTAAAGCAAATTGAAAGTTAAAGTCTCAGGGGAAGAAAGATCTTTGAAACATCCAACTCTCACGGAGGTCAAGCATAAACTTTAATATGAATATGATTATTATTGGGCACAACCCTTAAACACAATTAATTGTCTGTCAAAGTTATTTCAGTATTTTAAGCAGATCATTTTTGAATTTTACACTTTCAATAATGTCACCGTGTCACATTGTAATGTTTAAAAAGTTCGGCTCTGGGTAAAGCTAAATGTGAAACAGTGTTTGGAGGCAGAGCCCAGTGCATCATCAAAGGTAAGTTGATATAATACTATAAATAAGTACAATAATTCTAATAATAATACAAATTATAATAGTTCATACTCAATACTGTAATACAATAAATCAGATAAAAGAACAATAATAAAATAAAAACTATAAAAATGCCATACAGGTGACTTTTAATGCTGTTTTAAAATGAGTCACTGATTCTGCTGATCTGATGTTGAGGAGGAGTCTGTTCCACAGTGTTGGAATTAAACCAATAAAACATTACCCCCTTTGTTTTAAGTCTAAAAAATATTATTCTCTGTTCTCTCGGGTCTCGCAGCAAAGTCAGGGTTTAAATTATGAAATAAAAAGCGGATGATTTAAGGCAGAGTAGTTCAGACAGGACGGGTGTGATGTGTTCTCTGCGTCGTTTGTAAGAAGTCTTGCTGCTACATTCTGTACCAACTGTACCTTTATATATAATTAGGCATAAATGAACTCCGTCATATTCTTGATTAGAAACATATCACATAATAGAAACAAGGCTCCACGAGCTGACTCACAGATTCTTGGATAAGACAGACTTCCTTAAGGCACAATAATAGCTTTCCAGGTAGAAAGACGATTGTTCGACTTATGGTCAGTCTGAATCAATCATTGCTCTTCATAAACGTTTCAACGTCTTCTCTCCATTCCAGAGACCTGCCTTCCACTTTCCTCAGGGGTGGAAGTGACTGAACGGATGTCCTCACGCAGCAGGGGCCAGACATGACAGGACCCGCATTATGTAAAGCAGCTGTGTATGTATTCATTGAGCTGCCTGATTTCCAGGTGGAGTCTGTGGGGAGTTGGTCTGAGGAATGTGACACAGAGTGACTCAGAAATAATGGAACTCAGTTCCGTCATCAAGTAGAATAAGAAGGATGTCACTATGTAGCTACAATTAAGTTTGTATTTGCAGAGATCTGAAAACTGACTAATCGCTGTGACTACAGATGTCGATGACACATTTAGAAGCTGTAGATAATTCAAGGTGTTAGACTCAGTGCCTCCATATTTCCCCTTTGAAAGGGGTGTGGTGCAGTGGGATGGGGTGGAGGGGATGTGAGCTTTGTTCATGCTGCTGAAACAAAATAATCAGTTCACTGTTTTTATTTGGGTAGCGAATGTTAGATTTTTAGATTATAAACTTTGCCTGGACGCCCACCACAGGATGGCACAGGGGACAGATTTATTCCACAGCAGTGACCCACTCACAGCAACACATGTTTTTCTTTGATGCTGATGCTTTAATGCCCACGCTGAGTTTACTCTGGAAGACGTTGAAGATATTCCTGAGGACTGTTTTCTTTCTTCTAAATCAAAGCCTGTTCTTTCCAGTTGTTGCTTTTATCGTGTTTTTACAGTTAAAACATGAGATTCACTTGAACCAGCTTTAGTGTCAGTGCCACTAACAACATTCTCAGTGCAGCTATGATTTTAGTTTGTGACATTGCTTCATTTTCCGATAACTTACGCCTTTTCGCCTTGACTGACCGACACTATGTGAACCCTGACTGTTTCCTGCTCCTTGTGAAAAGCTAAATACGTCCAACTGAGGGCCAAATGTTAAGGTCCCCTTCTTTATCATACTGACTAAGTGCAGTTAAAAGACGTCACAGGCCAATGAATAATATGTGCTCCCTCTACTGCAGGGGCGTAACTCAAAGGTCCAGGCCGATATCATAGTAATTATTATTAAAGTGTTTTATTCCATTAAGACCTGAGTCACTGAATATAAAAAGAGCTGACAGATTTACCTGCGTTTACAAAAACTGTTCTCAGCCTCTGAAGGAAGATATAGACATGAAATTAAAATACTTCCTCTTTCTTAAACTTGTCAATGAAATACTGATGTTATCTGCTTCAATATTGCTCCTGTCGCTTAAATCATCAGCTATTGTCTGAAATGCTATAAAAATATTTTTGCAGACTAGGTGTGCTGAAAAAAAGATTCCCCAAATACAAGTATCTAGCTGAATCTTGATGTATTTCATCAGTCACATATCCTGAAAACGGTGACATTGTGAAGGAGATGCACTTCTCTCATCTGTCTCTAAAGTGAGAAGCAAGCAAATGTTGCATCACGTCTTGATAGGTGCAACAAACTTAGTAACTTCTGCACAAAGGCCTCCGCCAGGTCAGAGGCCGCTGCTTGGAAATGGTGGATTGCTCTCTCTAGGTTGGGAGTGAGTTGCAGCCCAAAGTGAAGGAATTTAAGTATTTATGAGGGAGGGGAAGATGGCGCATGAGATGGACAGGCAGCTCAGTGCACCGTCCAAGGAATGCAGGCATTGTATCGGTATGTTGGGGTGAAGGAGCTGAACTGCAGGTCAAAGCTTTCACTTTACCGGTCTATGTTCGATCTACGGTCTAGCCCTCATCTCTGTGTAGTGACTGAAAGATTGAGGTTGCAAATACATGCAGCCAAAATACATTTTCTGTATCAGGTTCCTGAGCTAAGCCTTAGAGATAGGGTGAGGATTTCAGACACCCGAGTAGAGCTGTTGCTTCTTCACGTCAGTTGAGCTCCTGGGTCCCTTCCAGTAGAGCTGGAAAGCGGGGTTGGCAAGAAGAATGTCTGGGATACCCTTCTTGGCTGTCTACCTCTGCATAGTCCCTCCTTTCCATCTTGTGTAGCCCAGTCAGTTGCAGTATAGAGTTAGCATAATAAAACATTGGAAACCTAAAGACAATCCATAGATATATGAGAGAGGTAGCCTGAGTATTAAACCTGAACCCTGCTGTTGCTCTCAAAGTGACTGGTGCTGATGCAGATTCATGTTAAATAATAATACAGTTGGAGCTATTCAACTCACAATGGTTCTGAAAGTTTGTTTCCATCATCAAGACTCAGCCGTAGTGAAATTAGGGTGTTTCAAAAGTCATTTCTTCAAAAACATGACCGGCATCTTAAAATGATCATTTAAATAATGTTGTGTAAAATAAATTGTTACAAATAGCTGTTTGAAATAACATGTCTGCACTTTATAAGCCGTGATGTCCTCAGTAATATGAGATGATAATGATGATGGACCTGCTGCAGATTCATTCTGTGTGGCTGGTTTTCAAACTAATGCTAGGGCTGCCTCATTATCTCACTAAATGAAGCAGAGTATTATAAAAGTACACTGAGCCGACAAGAATAGACTGTTTATGCTAAAATGTCGAAATCATAGATGAAAACAATTTTAATTAATGTTCAACATGTGTTTTGTTTCTACAAAACCCCATTGGATGAGCTGCCCTGTTGTACTAGAAACTTCTGTCAAACACAGAGTTGCTTTGCAACCCTTTAGCTGAACCTGATGCCATGTGGAAGAAATTAAATAAGGAAAAAACAGTGACTGTGTTAAAGTAACAAGGAGAACACTCCCATATCGTGTAACAAATACAAAAGTGAAAGAACAGTACAATGTGAGCTGGGCTTTTATGTTGTATTTTCTAAACCTAATTGATAGAGACAGCAGGGAGTGGTGTGGATGACATCACAAAAATGTTTCTTGTTTTCTTTTTACTTCTTGAGTTGAATTTTGTGAATGAGTGTGCTTCTTTGTAAAGAAGTAAGCTGCTGAAATGATTTTATACATCCAGGCAGGGGGGTTGCAACAGGGTAGGCAAAGCAAGCAATTGACTAGGGCCCCAAGCTAAAAAGGGGCCCCTGAGAATGGCTGATCCATAGCAACAACAATGTTGTTAGCACCCCCTTGAATTCTATGATCGACCATGCAGAGGAGAACCATGGTCACAAACCCCCAAATGAAGCCGAATGCCACCAACTTTCTGTTATTCACTTTTATTCAATCTCTGGCATTGTTAATGCCACGTGGAGTGTCAATGTGTGGTGACAGAAACACTCGATCTCAGTGGAAATAATCTGTTATGTCCTGCCTCCTGCCGCACCCCTCATTTGACCGCTCCGCAGATTTGTGTGATGTGAACCGGTCTCAGCGAAGAATCTCATGGTGCGTTGTTCATGTGTGTAAGACAAACTCCTCCTGAGTTCACGTCTAAAGACAGCGTTAGTTTTAGGTGATAATATGTGAATCAAAAAATCATTATGAATATTACGCTCAATTTTTGACAAAAGATAAATAATAATAATGATGAATCCAAAACACTGGAGCATTAATATTACAAACTATTAGGCTCAGTGATATTCATCTGAAACACTGAGATTTTGTCTACCTCCAAAGTAGTTTCTGCACCTGATGACATTTTTCCACAGCAAATTCCCTTCACTGTGTCTACCTCACCCTCTACATCCACAACAACATGAACCCTGTGGGCTCCAACAAGCGAAACATTTCATGGGGGTTAAGATACAGCTAAGGACCACACAGACTGGGAGAAAGCTTTCACCAGCCCAGGAGGAAAAGGGAGGTGTTTCCATGTCCTGGATGAGGATGAAAGGAAGAGAGCTGAGGTTAATTCCCCCATGACCTTACACACACGAACACACACTGCAGATCGGGGGTTTTAATGTGAACACCATACACTGTGGAAGGAAGTACAACATTCCTCCATTTCCAACCACTATATACAAATGAGAGTCTCTGTATTTATGGAGCGCTGGTAGTGAGGTCCATGCGCTTGACCAATTGCGAGTCAGTCTCAGCTGTCAAACCTGATATTTCAACCATTTTTTATATCATCATATAAGTCATTTAAACCAAACTTAAAAATAAACACTTGACTATACATCAGTGTGATAAGA